CAGGGTTGACATATAGAGGCAACCAGCCACACTCACATTCACACCTACGGGCAATTTAGTCACAAATGAACCTATCGAGCATGTCTTTGGACGTTGGGAGGATGCCCGAGTACCCGAGGTAAACCGGGGAGAACATGCAAAACTCCACACAGAGAGGCTTCTGTCCGACAGGGATTCAAACCAGGAACCTTCTCGCTGTGGATCGCTGTGCAGCCCTAATTAAATCAGACTTTTCCATTAATTCAAACATTTGATCATGATTCAAATTGATGATGATATTCTGTGTGACCAGAGGAATAAGACTTGATCGGTAAGGTAAAGAGAAGGAAAAAGAAGTCTAACCACAGTCAGTCCAGGTGAGCTTGTGCTCCTCTCTAGTGTCGGTCTCCATTTGGTTCATCATTCAGTTCATCACAGGTAGGGATACTGGTTCAGTTTCCGTGTGTAAGAAGCACTGGAGTGATGGAAAGGCGTCCCTCCCAGCGGCATCGTCTGCTGCTGCTGCTGCTGTTGTTGTTGTTGTTGTTGTTGTTGTTGTTGGGGGTTTCCGTACTGTCCCGCAGCAGACCCTCCCAGGGCCAGGCTGCTGCTCTTCTGCAGCAGAGCCAGAGAGGAGTACGCCCCGCCTGCCCTGTTGTGACGCGACGACACGCCCTGCATCTGATCCACAGCCTGGGACACAGACGCCAGCGCCGCCGAGGCCGGGTAGGCGTACAGGTTGGGGGTCGAGGTGAAGAGAGGGTTCTCGTGAAGTCGGTAGGATGAGTGCGAGGAGACGGGAGGCGGGTATGTGGGCTGACGCCTCAGGGAGCTACCGCTTCCTGTTTGGTCGTTGGATGATGACAGTACAGACTGCTGTACCTGAAACGACAAAGAGGATTGTATGGAGTCTCTCCAGTTAACTTCAAGTGAGAACTGAATCTCCGTCTGGAGGGGTTGAGTTACAGTTGAACATAATCTTTTGAGAAGGTTCTACCATGACTGAAGTTGAATCCAAAAACTGAAACTTTGTCTTTTGTTTTTTTTATGTTTTTATCATCCTACCATCCTGTTTGTCCAACAACACAAAGATTAGATTTTCTTGAGTCTGCCAAACAAGCCAACTTTAGATATGAGGGGAGACACAGAGACCTCTATCAGCCAACTCTATCAGTACACTGTGACTGTCGTCAGGCCGACAGGAAGAGCTACAGAGATACAGAAATCCAATCACATTAACTATCACAGGGATTTTGTTTGTTATGCCGATACAGCTGGAATATTAACTCCAAAATAAGGACGCTTGTATCGTATTGTTTTGCTTTCATGCTACGATAATGGCCCAAAAGCTCCCCAATAAGCGCTAATGTCTCCTGATTCCCAGACGGAGAGCTCATGTGTTGCCGTAGGAACAGAACCGAAGTCTTTTGCAGCAGAAATCAGAAAACATTAGGAAGCCGTTACCTGACTGAGGTTCAGAGGCTGAGACCGGCTGGATGCGGCTCGTTGTTGCCGATCAGTGCTGGACTCTCCCGACCGACTGGACTGCTGACCTGACCCCTTCTTGGACTTTGCAGAGCCGCTTGTAGGTTCATCTGCCGCTGTAAAACCAGACAGAATACTGTGAGCACCATGGAGGTGATAAGGCTAGTTTGATAGGTGAAATGGATCTTTGTCATTTCTGCTTTAACTATCAAAACCAAAGTCCTTAAATGCATCACTGAGCTCACTATTAAAACACATACTGTCAAATAAAATGTGAATTAGAAGAGTACAAAATGATATTCATGCTTGGATAGAATTCAAACACCTGTGGACTGAGGACCTGGAGCTGCCGGGGCTTTGTGCGTTGTGCTCTCCACCGGCTGGCTCTTCACAGAGGGCATGATGACAGCCAGAGACTTGGCGGGCTGTGAGGTGGTCTTTGGGCTCAGGGGGCTGCTGGTGGAGGAGTCCGAGTCATGAGAGTCGTGTACGGTCACACAGCTGATCACGTTGGGCCTCTGGCTTGTTCCAGAGCTGCAGGACAGAAATGTGAATAAACCCTTTCAGCAAAAAAAAACAACATTTTACTAAAAGTGTGAAAAAAGTTTTGTAGAAAAGAAAGCGAGCGGACCAGGCAGCGGGGAACTTCCTGTCATCTTCGTCCTCTGAGTCGCTGTGGATGGTGATGATGCTGACAGCAGGACTGGGCGTGTCGGAGATGACGATGGGCTGAGACTGATCACCAGCATAGGCAGACGTGTTGTGGACCACAGTGGATGACACAGGCCTGGAAGGACAACGATGAAATCCAAAAAATATATATAAGCTCCTGTGGGGAACTTACAGCATGTGTTGACCTCTTATATATTTACCTTCTTTGCCCTGTACATATCAGTAGTAAAATACACTATTCAACAAGAATCTTTACTGTACAGAATGTTATGAAATCTTTTTGCAGCATGTCACCTCGTCTCATCTGTACACTTTAACAGCGCTCAGAGGGAGCTAAAAAGAAATCCACCAGCAGTCAAGAATGATACCTCCTTTTATCCTTCTAAGTACACACAACTAAGGCACCTCAAAAAGTCCAGGATATTCTGTTATATTTATGTTGGCGTCTTGTTTCATTGTCAATTTTAAACACACATAACTGAAGCAATTTTTGGGGTTTAAAGATCAAACAATAAGTCACTTGAGGGTTTTCTTTTTTTTCTGGATTCTCATTTTACTCATTTTTTTTCACTTCATCTACCTCTTTCATTTCATATAATTTGTTTGTTTGTTTGTTTGTTTGTTTGTTTGTTTGCTGCAAATATCAAGTGAAAACTGGTGAATTTATGGAAAGCAGATCCAAACTATCTCTGTTTGAATTCAACAGAATATAAAACACAGTGTCCTTGTACTGTGATTGTTGTTTTTACCTCCGTTATGTTATTTCCTTTGGTATTTCGAGTTATCACTTGGGGACACAGCTTCTCACATCACTTGTAAAAAATAGTCATCTTAAAATATGCATACTGTATGTCAAGACATTTTTTTAAGAAATCGCTTAATCCAAAGTTAATCAATAACAGCTTGTTTTCAAGGACATCTGAAAAAAAAAGTTGGATTTCCTGTTTTACGAGTCAGCTGCTCTTCTTGGACTAAAGTGGAAATATCATCCGACGTTTAGTTGGTTCTCAAAAACAAGTAATGATGGCAGCACTTTGAGCTTTAATCGTTCAATAGGCATCTAAGGGTTTTATTAAAGTTGCTGCAGCCTCTCTGTCTGGCTAGCAGAAGAAACAAAGATCAAACACACTGTGTTTTGATCTATGGACGATCCTGCTCTGAGCATCGTGTGGATAATGTGAATGTTTGTCGCTGTGACAGGATACCTGGCTCTGCTCTCTGCGTGTCGAGCCTTTGACCTCTTCCCCTGCTGGGCTCTTGTGGGAGCGGCTCCTGAGTTGTGGTTCTGTGAGGCAGCGTGACGGCCGACCCCAGAGTCCTGCTGGCTGACTGCATCGTACTGGTTTCCATGACGGCCCCTGTGAAAAATAAGAAACATGGACAGAATGACCTAAATCTTTTTAAACACATTAAAAACACAGAGTTTAAAAAAAGAAGAAAAATAATTCACCTCCAGCCTGAAGCTTGTTGGCTGTCAGAAATCGGAGCACCCATGGGTGATTCAGGCACCACAGCCTGCCCCGGGTTGTGGATCGCCATGCCAGGCATCTGCTGCCATGTGGAAGGGATGAGGATCTGCTGTGTGCCTGCTGGCCAGCCCTGCTGCATGAACACACACATACAGAAAGAGACATTTTAATCTTATTTCTAAAACCTTCAACTAAACTTTCTAAAGAGAACAAAGTAAGTTTTTGATCTCAAAAAGAGTATGGGTTATTTTTAAAGTTTATAACTGAAATAAAAGGCAGTTTGTTGACCACCACAAACATTCCATTCTTCATTCTGCACAAAGACAACCAACAGATTTTACATGATTTTTTAGATCATCAGCATCTTGTTTACAAACTGAATCCCTGTGCAGAGAGAGAGAGCTCCTTTTGTTATTACTTAGAAAGAAAGAAGCTGAAAGAAGCAGAAAATACCAAAAGAAGACAGAGAAAAGCAACTTTTTCCATCCAGTTCTGATGCCAAGCATGCATGTGTGTTCATGTCCTGAGCTGTGGGGAATAAAAAAGTTATGTAGAACTGACTGGAGCAGCCCAAAGACACCTGTTAAAAAGTGAAGGGAAATGATTACAACTGATGTAAAATAATTCATCCAAATTCTCTCCAGTTTCCCCCGAGCTGTCATCACCCTCAGGCACAATGGTTCCTACTGAAGAATTCAATCTTGTTCATCTAGTTTCCAGAATGAATTCTGTGCAGAAAGAGAGCGGCTTTTGTTACTGCTGAGAAAAGAAATGTGCTGAGAGAAGCAGTAAATACAATCAAAAACGTTTAACTCGGGTTGTGATGCCAAGCATGTTGAGATTCAGTCCTGTGCAGAGAAACGGAAAAAGGGATCCAGATGGGAAAAGTAGAACAGCACACCTGAAATACAACAGGAGAGTGTTAGTTTCAGAAAAGGAAAGGGAGACGTGGTTTTAATACCAAAAAGAGCCCTGAAATTTTTCTCAACATCTTTTTTTAATTTGTTTTTGAATAAATGTTGTAAGAAGCCTTGACGCTATAAAGAACAAACCAAACTTGTGAGTTACACAGTACGTGCCCTGATGCACACCTTTCGTCCATTAGGAGGAAAGAAGAAGAAGAAGGTTATGATGATGGTGTTTTACCAGCATGTAGACATTCTGATCCAGTAAACCACTGAGGCTTTCACCCTTACAACCTGAGTCTATACTCTGCATTCCTGCCACAGAGGCGTACACGCTGCTCACCAGCAGGGGGTCCAGGGAGGCCTAAGGGGAGGTGTGAGGTGAGAGGAGGGGAGGGGGAAAGGACCACAGGTGTTGAGAGGACACATGTGGAACACACCTGTACCACCATAAATTTACTAAAAAACCTAAATAGGAGGGAGGTTTACCTTTGGATCAAGAGTTTTGAGTTAGTGATAACAACAGAACAAGAAAAAGGAGAGCAAAGGGGGGTTTAGGGGTTAATACAAAATAAATAAACTGAGGTATAGGGGAGAGGGTATTAATGAGTTTAATGTTCTACGCTATGTAACCAATCCAATTTTAAGATTGAAATCTGCACACTTTATGCACTTCCACACTTAAATCCATGCACCACCACACGTTTGCACTTTTTATGTATTTTCCTTGTTTTTTGATTAAGTATATGTGACTCTCCCTGCAACCAAGTTTACCTAAAGTAACCTGATCAGTTGAATCTTTAGATCGTTATTGATTCATCAAGTCTTTAAATGGACTTTACTGTTGTCCCTGGTAACCAGGGTATGAGCATATTTGGGTTACTTAGTCCAGGGGTTACCAGCCAAGGGGTCAGGACCCCTTCAGACAGTCCCAAGATTAATGTCCGGGGTCATGAGAAGACAAATGAGGCAAAAGAGAAGCAAAACAAAGTTCTGCCACACAAAAATGTGTATTCATCTTTTGTACTTCTCTTTTAACTTGGCTGGGTTTTGTTTTTGCCATTTTACATCTTTAGACCTCCAAAAGATTAATTACATTTAATTATTATCTGTGAAGCAAAGACAAGAATTGTCTCTCAAATAGAACTGCAAACAACTCAGAGATATCTGAAACATGATAAGGGACTTAAACTACACGCAGCTTTCTATCTGAAACATGATAAGGGACTTAAACTACACGCAGCTTTCTATCTGAAACATGATAAGGGACTTAAACTACACGCAGCTTTCAGTGATCACAAGTCAAAAATGGTTGGAACTGTTAGTTTAATATTTAAAGGTCAGATATTATTCTCCTTTTCAACTAGTTTAAATAAGTCTCCGAGCACCCCGAAAACATGTGTGTGAAGTTTCTTGTTCTAAATCCACTCTGATCCTGTATTTGATCATGCCTATAAAACCCTCTATTTCAGGCCTGCTCAGAACAGGCTGTTTCTGTGTCTGTACCTTTAAATGTAAACGAGCTGTGTCTGACCACGCCCCCTCTCTGGAAGAGCTTTTGTGACTCTGGCTTTCTCGCACCATGCCCTATTGTTTACAGTGAGAAGGCAGACTCAGAGGGCAGAACAAACACCTAGCTGTGGGAGTGTCACCCACCTGGGGGAGGGGTTACTGCCCTTTGTGATGTCATGAAGACAAAATCTCTAAACGGCCTGTTTGAGCACAAATTGTCTGAAAAGATGAGCAGGCAAAAGAATGAGAGGATGGACTTTTCTCATACTAAGGAGGTTTGTAGAGAGGCTGGAGACCCACATTAGTGTTAGAAAATCCTGGTGTAGTGTATTTTGCATTATATGCGACCTTTAACATCGGGCTCTACCTGTGTCAGCATGCCGGGCTGGATGTGAAGAGACTGGGAGGACTGGTTCTGAGGAACTAAAGGAACTGAGTTTTCCATCCTCACTGGGTAACCAGACGGCTTACTGGATGTTTGAAGACCTAGGAGGAGAGGACAGAGGAAGATTATTGTTGAGACATCCATCACGAGAAATGATGACGACTAACACATATTCAGGGATAATGATGTCAATGCTACTGGAGAACAATATCTCTAAAGGTTTCTACAGTTTACAGGGTATGTGTGAACATGACACACACATGTGGTATCCTCACCCTGGATGGTTGGCGGACACACTATGAGTGTTTGCTGGAAAGGCTCGGTCTGGGTGCAGAGCTGCGTGGGTCTGGTCTGCAGGGGGACGCCCTGCTGGGTCAGGCCCGGGATGTTTATGGTGGCCTGCTGGTAGAGGCCGGGCTGGTAGTTCAGCAGAGGGACGTTACTGCTGAGGGACAGGGACTGGCCCCCTGTCGACGCCATCTGTGACACAAAACGACAAGTTCAAGTTCCTGGAAATGTGAGTCCAGATTTAAAGCGCTTTGAAAATAAATTTATTAGTATTATTATTATTATTATTATAAGAACTCGTGTGCTCTAGCATCGTGTTTTTCAAAAATATGGAAGTTGTGCTGGTAGCCGGAGAGTTGCCAGGGCACTTGCCAAGTACTGCCGAAATGCCCTTTGAGCATATGTGCCTATATGTGTGTGAAGCATGTCTCTCAATAACAGAGTGTAAACCAAGAATTTCCCTCAGGGATTCATAAAGTATGTAAAATTAAAAAAATAACAGATAAAGTTCTTGCCTGATTGTGCTGGTTGAGTTGGCTGCTGAAGGTGACCGTGAGGTTGGTGGCTGCACTCGGGGTGTTGTTGCTGGCGAACATATTTTTCCCGTTCTCAAAGGCGCTGCATCTGCGTTTACATATATCCATATTCTGGAAGCAGGACTTCACACTATCAAAAGAAAATTAATTAAAAAAAACAAAGAATCAAACGAGGACACAGACAGAATCCTGCAAAGTCACTGCAAAATCAAAACCACAGACACGACAATCATTCCTGTTTTTGTTTTTTAGCACGTTTAGGTTTATCAGCAAAGTTCAGTGTATAACTATCCGTTCAGAAGAACAAACCAGTGATATAGCTGAAACACAAACAGGATGTAAAAAGATGTTTCACATTTAATCAGAAAGAAAAGCTATGTGTAATGGGGGGGGGGACACGAGCAGCACTTCAGAGGAATGGTGCAATGTAGCTGTAAAAGATGACCTCCTCCTCAGCACGATAAGTGCTTATCCGGTTGTTGCATGCAGTTTATTCTATCTACTTTTTATCCAACTGGTGAATTTGTCAAAGAGAACGAGCAATGGTCGATAAAAAACTAAAAAGTAAAAAAAGGGGTGCTGGTGGTGCAGTGGTTAGTGCGTGCGCCCCAGGTTCGAGTCCAGCCTGTGGCTCCTTTCCTGCATATCATTCCCTACTCTCTCTCTCTCTCTGATTTCTGACTCTAGCCACTGTCCCATCTCTCCATTAAAGGCACAAAAAGCCCAAAAATAAATCTTAAAAAAAAAAAAAGTAAGCCTTGAGCTGTGGGATCCCCCGGGTGGACGCGAGACACCATGAGGGGGGGTCGCAAAATGCCTTAAAAAATATAAAAATATCGATTTAAGATTTACACATCGATGTAAAAATATATACAAATAAAAATACATAAAATGTTTCCTGCAGATCCTCTGGGATCATTAACATGTCTGCTGCTCTATAGACACAAAGATGAACACACCGATGAGTCTATTTATTACGTTTGTATGTCCACTCAGTGCTAAAGTCTACTTAGACATAAATTACCTTGTAAAACAACAGAATTCATTTTAGGCTGTTCTATATATATATAATATATATTTTTCGCATGATGGTGTTATTTATTACCTTATGGGAATATGAAAATGAATGCAGTAATGTAAAGTAACTTGATTGGGTCTTTTCAATGGAGGACAAAAAACATGTTGGGGTTTTAGTAAAGACCTAACCCTTCAGGCAGAAAAAAGTGGAATTATTGTGCAGCTATAGACTATAAGGGAATTGATGCACATTTTTCACGACTGTTTCAATGTTTTCCAGATCCTCTGGGCATTTTTTTTTTTTTTACGATTCTGATATCCAGATAAAAAACAATTCAGTGCAACTCATGTCTCTTCTACTCCACCCACATGAAAACAAAAAAGCTGCATCTAAAAAATAACCACGTGCAGGAGTTCAGTAGCTGCCATTATTTAAGTTAATCTCCATCGACATATTTGGCTACTCAATCTTCCAATTTGTTGTCGAGCCAGCACTATAGATGAATGAGAGCTGTTGAGGTGTTGCAGTTTAAAACACATCTTTACTTCAGAGGTTTGCTAGGAGGAGAGTTTGGGGGTCCATCACCAGAGTGATTTTGCAGTTTTCTTCTTCCTCTGCAGGGATGTACAGTTTGTGAATAACGCTCTGTGAAGAACAAGAAAAGAAAGCCGTAAACAAAGTGACACCCCAAAATTCTATACTAAAACTTGTTCTTGTGTTGTTTACTTTATCAGTGTTTTTACTAACTCTGTTTTCTGCCCAATCTTGGATAAGTAAATTTATACCTATAATGTCTGTACTCAAGTTAACCAGTTGGCTGCCAGACAGTTGTTAGCTTCTCTAAGCACAAAGAATGTCAACAAGAGGAAACAGTTATCCTGGCTTTTCCTAAAAGTGCTAAATGCCTCAGTACAGCTCAACAATCAACAATCAAAGGCGACAGGCATTTAAAATCACTACATAGAATAAATCTTCTCTCTTATAGAGCTCAACAGTGACCACCCATTGTATTGGTGGATCTCGTTCAGGACATAAATATTCCTTATTCAAATCCTCCAATGACATTTCAAAAAATCCTCATAAATCCACCAAGAAAACCATTTACCCCTATACTCCTGACTAAAGTACATTTGATTCGGCACCCAAACTGCATTGAAAAGTGTACAAAAAGTTACAAGACTGTGTACACATCATTTTCTTCCTGAATCAAGGAACTACCCATCCCATAATCCATTGTGAATGAAATTGTTTCTTCCTAAATGTAACTTTAGTTGTTGTTATAATTATAATGTTAATAAAAGTGTTGTACTACATTGTAATTTTTGTTTTTGAATATATAAAATGACGTTCACTCATCAAGAAGGTTACTGGCACCTTGAGCTCCTCTCTCTCTCTCTCTCTGTGCATATACAGTACATCATATTACTGCATGTATCTATCTGTAAATCTCAGTCACTAACACCTACTTTCCTGAGAGCTCTTGAGCTCTCTTAGGCTCCTCAAGATCGTTGGTTGACGGCCTGCCAGAACAAACCCCCCCCCACCCACCCACCGGATTGTTGATGGACGGTTTGCCTCCCCCCACCCCCTTGCTCCCTATCCCTCTTCCTGCATCTTATCCCATCTCTCCCCCTATCCCTTTCCAACCCCGGCGCAGTCTAGGCCTGTAAAGGCTGTTTCATCATGAGCCGGGGATCCGGCCGAAGATTTCTGCCTTTTAATAAGGCAGTTTTTTCTTACCACTGTAACTTTTGCTGCTTTGCTAAAGTGCTCATGATGGATAGGCCGGGTCTTTGTAATATAGCAATTAGTAAGGTCTTTTACCTGCTTTTTGTAACATAACAATGAGTAAGGTCTTTTACCTGCTTTTTGTAACATAACAATGAATAAGGTCTTTTTACCTGCTCTTTTGTAATGTTAACAGACAAAGAGTAAGGTATTTTACCTGCTTTTTGTAAAGTGTCTTGAGATAACACTTGTTATGAGTTGACGCTATACAAAATAAATTGAATTGAATTGAATTGAATTGAATTGAATTGAATTGGTACATTTTGTGCTAGCTACCTAACTAGCTAGTGAAACTAGCCTGCTAGCGAAACTATCCGTTCTCATTCAGAGCCGAGGGGCGGGGGGGACATTGCCATGGTAACAGCGGGCTCCACCAATCAGAGTCGTCGCTGTGACACACAGATTGTGGGTAGTGTAGTGTAGTTTTTTTTTGTTTGTTTTTTTTTGCAGATATCGTGAATAAAGCTTGTTAAATGAGGTTGATTTCATACAAACCTGTGTCTCCTACAGGAGCATAAATATGACATAATGGCTAATAATTGAATCCACTATGAGCCACACTGTTGAAGCCTATGGTCTTGTTTGCTTCTTGTAGGTCACATAGGGGCGTCATTATTAATTTCAGTCCTTTTCATTAGCGGCTAAAAACTCCTCACAGGACCTTTAAGATTTTATGTAATGTACTTAACTTATTGTCTTAATGCTACTCTATCCAGCTGCTTCATATAAACTCATATCAACCAGGCAGACGCTGAAGTGGACGCCACCTTCTCAGGTAAGTCTGGGCAACATGGTGAATAAAATAAACTTCCCTTAGGATTTGAAGAGAAATGACAATCAGAGCCAGGATTTTTTTTTAAAAACCATCATTCACCTTGTTGTTGTTGTTAGAAATCTCACTGAGGAGGTCTCGAGGTTCTGGTACTTTGGGGAAAAGAGCTTTCTTATTCCTGTTAAGAGAAAGTTAAAGATCAGAGGCGTATAAGAAGACACAACTGCAATCAGCAGATACATAGGTGAAGACTCCACATACTTCCTGCAACACACAACAGTGAGGACTGCCAGGCCAGCACACATCAATGGGATGATAACTACAGGATATAGAATTGCACTCGGATCTGTAGCTGCACCTTAACAGAAAAGTTTTAAAAAATCTGATTATCAAAAATGAACACATCTCAGATTCTCTTCAGTGTGCCTGTGTCATTTTGCAATTGAAATAGATGAAAAGAAATACAATGATCGTACTGAAATACTTCTCTTTAGTCCATGGCGTCTTGTTTTCATCTTTCTTTGCTTGAATAGAAATCCAGTACTGATAGCGAGATTGCCTCGGCAGCTTATACGATGTCACTTTTTTTGTTGTAATATTCTGTGAGAAAACAAGGTGAGTAAACATTTAGTCTTCTTATAAAGAATACAATATGCCTGAATTCTGCTGAAACAAACTGAAACTATGAGTGTTAACAAAATGTTGACATTGAAAACACTGCATTTACTTTATTTTCTTACTCTGAAAACTTTTATATTATCTTCATGTATTTTCAAGCTCCTAGGGCAAACTTTCATTTTGTGTTGATTTTGGCGCCCCCTTAGGACAAAACAGTTTTTGTTGATTTTGTGTAGCACATGTGGAATTCTTATTCAGCTATTTTCAGAGCAAAGGTTATCATAGTTATATTTGCTGTTTAGAAGTTTAAAAAGGGCGGTTTCTGCGGTATAGGTAGTTCTATTTTACCCCGCAGCAACTTTTACAAGGATTTAAAATCACCTCATAATCAGTCTTGCCACTGATGGTCTTTTTTTTTGTTTTTTTCAGGTCATAAAGAGGCATCATTATGATTTTCAGTCTGTTTTTAACCAGCTAAAAACTCCTCACAGGAGCTTTAATAAATGCGATCAACTTCTTTAAACTTCAAATTAATTCCAAAAACACGTTACTGGCATGACAACCGGAATGTCAAAAACCTTTAAAGGACGAATGACAAAAAAAAATGCTGTTTGGCGACACCTCCGCTAATCTGAAGCCTTGGCTCTCCTCCAGAGACACACCTCCAACCACCTCTCCACTCGCCTTCCCATGAAGGAGTTATGACTTACAACACACCATCATTAAGCGCAAGCGGCGGACTAAATTGTCCTCTGATCGAGCTGCAGTTGACCGTGGTCTGCACTGTTGTGTTAGCAGGATAATGTTAGCACACTTTAGTTAGCTTGTAGCTTC